GTCTCTCTGCGGCTGCTGTCGTTTCTGCGCTCGCTTAGGGTTGATCTCCAAAGTGGCAAATTTGGACGTTCCCTCCTGCCAAAGAGACACAAGCAGTAAATATCATACACACACACACACACACATGCAAACACACATACTCACACATGCACACACGCACACTCACTCACACACACACACACACACATGTCATGTCGTACCTTTATCAGCAGTTCTCGGCTCAGCGAGTGGTTGTTCTCATCAGAGAATATCTCTGACAGCTCCTGGAAGATGCGAATGTTTTCTCGTGACACTTCGTCCCATGTTTTCTTGAGCCGGTGAACCGGGTTACACTGCAGCGCAGACAGAATCGCACGCAGAGATGAGAAGTTCTTCAAGATCCGACACTCCTGAGAAAAGAAACTGGTCTTAAAATCAACAGTAAACCAGCAATCAGACGTGGGTTGTGTGTGAGTGTGTGTGAGAGAGTGTGTGTTTGTGTGTGTGTGTGTGTGTGTGTGTGTGAGATCAGACTGACTCTGGCTACTTGGATCCAATGCTCCAGGATCCGGGCTCTCTGGCCAGGCTTGAGCGTCCGGTCGCTGAGGCAGGTGGAAATGACACAGTTGGTGATGCGGTTGAACTGGCTGACCGTGGCTCTGATGGTCGGCGCCAGATGTTCCTTCCCTTTCTTATCTCTCTGAGACCAGATGCTTCCCAGACAGTGATACGGCACCACCCGCTTGAACAGCTCCTGCACGACACAAACACAGCACACGACACGGTCCTTCAGCGTCCGGTGAGAGAATGAGACGCACTCAGCTTCTCTAATTCTCTCTACATCACAACAGACCTGAGGATCAGCTACGTGAAGCTCAAGCATGCTTGTGTGTTGGGCTGCACGATAAATCGCAATCGTGATTAGGCAAAAGCTGTGATTGTCATGCGCATCTCATCAGTGAAGCAGGGTTCTGTGATCAGCAGTAAATCTTCATCTGAAGGTCAGAGAAACTCCAAATACACCTCGCAGAAATAATCCTAGCTTGTCAGTGAACCAAGGCTCTGTGTAGTAAATGCTGATCCATCTGAAAGCAGGTGATGGAGATTTACTACTAATCACAGAACCGTTTTACTGACGAGATGCGCTTGAATATTGCATTTGATTATTCGTGCAGCGCTACTTGTGTGTGTGTCTGTGTGTCTGTGTAAGTGAGTGTGTGTGTGTGTGTGTGTGCGCGCGTTTTTGTGACAAATGAGGACATAAATTTGTATAATGACAAAGGTATGACATAGGTATTACAAGGAGAAGGTGACTTTTCAGGACATTACCTCATGTCCCCACTTTTCAAAACGTTTACAAATCACACAGAATGGAGTGTATTGAAAATCTGAAATAGCACAAAGTTTCCTGTGAGGGGTAGGTTTAGGGGTAGGGTTGGTGTAGGCAATAGAATATACGGTCTGTACAGTATAAAAACCATTACGCCTATGGGATGTCCCCACTTTTCACAAAAACAAACCTGTGTGTGTGTGTGTGTGTGTGTGTGTGT